CCTTTGCTAATATTTTGCATTTCTAGGAAAATGCTTTTATTTTTTTTATATCAAAGCAATACATTATTATTCTTTGCCACGTTTTACATGGGAAATTCTGGAGTTGAAATATTCTCCCATCTGAGAAAATGAACTTCACTGCATGCACTAATAACGTCTTAGGCTATTAAAACAGATACAAAGATTGCCTTTTACTTTTGAAACTATAAATTCTGTTTGACATTTTTCGATCTGTCACTCAGACTAGACAGCAAAAATATGTTAGTTAATTTAACCATGGCTATGATATATGGCCTGATAGTCACTTTCTCTTTTAACTGTCATTCATGATGATGGTCAGATCCTAGATACTGTGGGGAATTAGTCTGAACTGTTTACTTTGGATGCTAAGAAAACCCAACCCCAAAAGCCAACTATTCTACATAGTTTAAAGCTGTGGTTAAAAAAAAAAAAAAAAAAAAAAATCAATTCCAAAACACCATTTAATGTGCTTTTAGTACCTTGATATTGACTTCTCTAAATCCATACATCATTCTAACTTAAGGTCAACTTGCCTGATAATTATTTTAATCACTATTGCATATGGTGAGTCTTGCATTATCCAGCAGAGTTGTTCTGGTTTCAGGTATAGAATTAATAAGTCATAACAAGCTTCTAGGTTTTATTTGGTATTGCAGGTTACTTAAACGTTTCTGTTTTTCCTTTAAATGTTGCAGTGTGTGATTCAGCAGAGCTGTGTGCTGAAGGAAGGGAACTCATGAAGAACCAGTAATTTATGCTGCACCTGAATAGATTTCCATAGCTTTAGGCGTGCTATGCCAGTTTAAGACATTGAAGCTTTGCTGTAAGTTAGGTGTTTAGTTTTATCAGACACTTTTCCCCCTTCTGTTTTCTCCCAGAGGTTTTCTAACATTTGCTAATCATTCTTTTATTCCTGGGCGGATGATTGGAGTACAGGATCCCTATTTAGATGATGTTTGGAATGAAGTGTATTTTAAAAATAGTGACCTCTGGGAATATAGTTTAGAACTGACAGTTTTTCAAACATCTGTTCAATAAAAGCAGGTAGTCTCTCTTTGACTCAGTGGTGTTGCCTCTTTGGAGGGAGAAGGGAAATACAGCTAATAATGATCTTTCTTTTCCCCTCAGAAAAAGAGACTTGCTGTGGGTTTTGTATAGCCTGCTGCCAGTATCGGGAGGCAGCCAGGCCAGCTGGGGATGGGAGCCCTTCTTCTCATAGGCTGTGGCTCAATTTCAAGCTACATGGGAAGAAAGAGGGGACATGGACAGCACCATGAGGGACACAAGAGTAGTGGTCAGTACTCCAAGTACTCCTTTGACATAGGAATTGGTACCACTGGAAGCATTCTGCCTAGCCTGGACAGGTTCTTGTATTTTTCTTAATTATTTTTATTTATTTTTCTTATATCCTTGATTATTGTTTATCTTAATTTTTCTTCACTGTCTTGTCTGCAGAATTTGCAGTTCATTGCTTGTGTCTGAGACACAGTCGTGCACCCATGCAAGCCTCCGTGCTTTGCGTTGGGAGAGGAGTCTGTTGTAGTATCTCACGTATGTTAAGTGCATCTGCCGTGTGTGTCTTGGCATAGCTAACAAAAAGCCTCTCCTCTGCTAAAGAAACAGCCCAAAAGAATGTACACCAAGGCTGTAGGATCAGTTTTTCTTACTAGCTTTTTAAGCACCACAGGGAGAAGCGGTGGCTGGTCCACGGCTCTGTCAGAATCCCAGGGCAGTTAATTCAGCAACTGCCTTGTCTCCATTGAGCGTCCGGCACAGACAGCCCCTTGTTAGGGAATCGTTTGTGGCCCACAGCCTGCTTCCTTTTCTCCGTTTGCTTATTTTTTGAGGGTCCCAGATTTTCTTGGGTGTAGGATCAGCTTGCTTTCTGTGCCTGTCCCTAAGCCCTTTCACAAGTGATGTGAGGCAGTTAGTGTGGTTAGATGGTTCTGCGTGCTTGGTTGCACAAGGGATGTCTTGCTGCCCTGAGCCTGCAGCTGTGACCTGCCCAGCTGAAAAGCCTGGAGTCACTGGCTTAGAGAATCTTCGAGGCGGAGAATCAACTAATGCCAGAACTGAGGTGCGTGGTTGCTTGACGTCCTGGTTGTTTGGATACTTTTTAAAATAACTTATTTTCCCCCCCAAAAAAAAAAAGCTGTTTCAGTAGAGATTTTTCCCAAGTTAACTAATCCTCAAAATATGCATGCTTCTATGGTTTCTGGTCCCCTGGGCTTAAGTATAAAAAGTTCTCAGGTTTCAGGTAACCAAAGTGGGGGGGCACACTCACACCCCTCCCTCTTCTGAAAAAGGGGAAGACCCAGCACAACATGCCAGCCTTGATAATCGCTTCTTCCTTCCTGTAGCTTTTTAAGCGTGTGTGACATCAGGCCCAGGAGCAGGCACCCCTTCCCTCCCTGCTTGTGTGCTGGCCTGGCTGCTTCCCCTCTGCTGGGCAGTACCGTGGGTTTCAGTAAGTCCCAGTAAATCTGCAAAGTTCACTTAGCAGTGGCGGGGGCGGAATTATAGAAAACCTTTGGACCGGCTCTTCCTCAAGTGGGTATGGCAACCACAAGTATTTTCCTTCTTAAATGCAGAAGAAAGCTTATTCAGTGTGTATGCAGGCATGGCAAGAAATGCAGCCTTTGCCATCAGCCTCTCTTCTTTCAGGGGCTCTGGAGCAGTCCTGCCTGAAGCCTGGTGTGTTTCAATGGCAGTTTTAAGTTCTTCTGTTTACTCCAGGGCAGACACAGCAAAAATGTAGCTGGTTTGGTTATCTTAAGTTTTAGCTTACAGTATTTGGAATGCTTCTGTGTAGGCTGCTGCCCTAATTTACAAAAAAGCATCCCCCACCTAATATTTCTTATTCTTACTTAGCTGTGTGAAAATCGTTGTTTCGACAATTTGACTATTAACTCTTTTTTTTTAGGAGATTCATATTTTCTTCTCAAAACACAGTTGGAACACAGCCTCAGGTGATGGTCTGCAGCAGTGCTTCCCACACCATAATGGCCGTATGTTAATCATCCCCCACTTACAGGCTGCTGTTACCTGCGAGAGGGCTTTGAAATTCTCTGCAAGAGGTGCTTGGTTTCATTTACTTTTTAATTTCCTTGCTGAGCCATGACAAGCTCTCTGTTGCGGCTGTGCAGTGCATGCTGTTTCTAGGCCAGAGAAACTCCAGACTGGTAAAGGGGAAGAAGGGAGTAATTTGTGTCACGGATGCTGATTGATCGCCGGTCCCTTTGGGCATCTTTGTAACGGCCTCCCAAAAGAAAGACTTACTGTATCCGTCGGAAAACTGGAGGAGCCATTGTGTATTCAGCAGTGTGCAGCAGTTGTGACTGTGGACAACACAGATGCTCTTAGATAGAAAAGCATTGAAGGCAGTCCTGCTCTGTGACCTCCCCCAAAAGGGTCTTTGATTTTCACATATGGGGTTAGTGGGAATGAGGAAGGGAGATTCCTGCCTTGTGCTGGCTGAGGCTTTTCGTTTTTAAGTTAAATTTCCTATGTCTTCCAAGTGAGAAGGTTCTGACATATTTAAATAGCCTGCAAGTATTGGGAGGGTGGCATGGAGCAGGGACGTCTGGGCTTTGTGCCAGGAATTCAGTTCTGCTCTCAAGACTAGAGCAGAAATGGTTTGTTCTGCTTGATAACTTGTCAAATGCAGTGACTGAGCATTGTCTGACTGCATGTACCTGTATCTCAACACTCATACCGGCACAGTAGACAACCCCCTCTACACATCTGCCTAAATTTGCTCTACCGATTGCAGTTCGCAACATTTTGGTGAGTAATTAGTAGGACTCTCCAGTCTCTTCTCCCTGGTGTTTCAGGATCACTGAAACAGTTCCTCATATGGCCAAAGCAGCATTCAGAGGCTTGGGCCTTTCTGACTAAACCCTGATTATTTGAACTCAGCTCCTGCAGGAGCCAGGTTGACTACAGGTCTTCAAACTGAGGTCCAAGGACGTGTCTAAACCGTGGGGCGTTGCACTGCCCGATGTCCCTGATGGTCATGGCTACACGACGCAGGGGTTGTTGCCTGTGCTGAGGCTACCTCAGTCAGGTCCACCTGCCACAGTGCGGCACCCATCTCCAGCTGGAGTTTTAAATAACTGTGATTTTTCGAGTCACTGCTTCCAGAATGGATCGTCTGTCTCGAGCGGTGGGTCTGTGGGGGCGGAGGTGCGGTGGGGTGACACATCTGGGCAGGGTGCTCCAGCTGCAGGGCAGTCTCTCTGATCTGGACCTGACCTGTGCCTGTGCCCTTCCTTTGTGTCCCCTTCCCTGCTCTGTTTGCAGAGCTGGTCCTGGAGCCAGCCTTGGGTATCTTTGTGCTTGTGATGAGGACAAGCCATGGGACAGCTTAAAAGCTTCTTGGCAAGGGTTTCAAGCAGAGAACAAGTGATGCAAGTCCTTGTGTGTGTATAGCTCTGGAAAGCGTTCTGTGTACCAAGATTATGGGTGTAGAACAAGGTTGTAAAGGATAAATGTAAGAAGAGAAATGGCTGCAAGGTGCTCTGTTCGTTTTCCCTGACGTTTATACATGTATCGTTGGATCAAAATCAAAGACCTGTCAAGCGTGTGGAATGTGCTGTGGTGCAATTCACACACTCTGAGGGCAGATGAGAAATGAAGAGCAAAGCAGAACCGACTAAAATTGAGATCCTCCCTCCCTAACGTCACCCACTGCCAACCTCTGCTCACCTGGCAGCCGTACCAGTCCCAGCGGTTCAGCTGCTCGGTATGTGTCTTGGGTCACTCTGAGGCCGTGATTCAGCAGCTGCCAAAGTGCTTCCTAGGCAGGGATTGGAACTGAGCAAGTGCTTCCCTGAATTTGAATCATGTTCATTAGTGTAGATTTTTATTGTTTGCATTTTAATATTAAACAACCCTTTTCCATTAGTGTTTGTTTTTACATTTTCCCCACGTTTCCAACATTAACCATTCCTTTTTTTTCTTTTTTTTTTTTTTTCCAGGAAAAGAGGAGTAGAAGTAGTACAGGTGAGTAAAAAATTGTATTTGATTTCTCCCCTCCCCCCCATTTTCTTGTAAAGAAGGTTTACTGATTTTAAATGCTGTCATTTAGATGTCAACAAGACTTGGGCTTAATTATTTTTCTTTCTTTTCCCTTCAGTTCCTTGCCACAGACATGTTTTTTTGGAAAAAGGGGATCCCCCTTTTGTGAAGCATATCTAGAGCCCACCTAGACTTAACAAGTGCCCTGGTGAAAGTGGGAATGCAGTTGAGCTTTTCTTGTGCCTGTTAATAAGGTCTCATAGCTGACTATGCGTTATTACTCTGCGTTTATTGCATTTACAGACAGGCTTAACAGAAACAGGAGCTGGCCTTTGAAAAAAAAAACTGTAGCAGAGGGAATGTTCTTGTAACCCAGTGAGCAGAGAAATGATACTGATGTGCCTTTGAGTTGTAGCCTTGTGTTGGGTTTGTGTGTGGTGGAGTTTTGGTACCTGGGGAGGGGAAGGAGCGAGCAGCTGAGTGGTGCTCAGTTGCCCTCTGGGCTTAAACCGTGACAAACCCATCTACAGATAAGTTCAGGTGATAGCTACATTTGTTCTTTCCCAGGTCTGAATGGTCATATTTCACGCAAGATGTTAGTTAAAGGATGATGGCAACTTGGGAAAGGAATTAACTTACCGTAACAGCTGTAACATAGAGCACTGTAGCCCTAAAAGATCAAAGGGGAAGCATGCTCTTCCTTTCTGGCTTATCTTGTGTACTTAGAGCTGTGTGTCATAGGCTTCCCTCATGCTGATGCTTACCTAGGGCTTGTTTCACACTCGAAGGCAGTCAGTGTGTTCACTTATTTTCTCATATCTCACTAGCAGAGATGCAACGGCCTCAATAGGACAGAAGAGGGAGGAGGAAAATGGGATGTTAGCCGCTGATAGTTGAGGCTGCTCTTAAGTCCAGGTGAAAGGTGCTTCTCAACACCAGCAAAGAGTAGGAGAAAAGCACTTTAAAAAATGCATTGAAAGTCAGGCCATGTTATTTTAAAGCGTGCGCTATCGGAAGAGGCTTTAAATTCTCACTGCCAGTTAAACTGGAGACTTTCAGGTATGTGTGGCTGCCTGAGAACTGCATGGATTACGAAGAAAAAGGGCATATACTTTCCTGGCTGCATATAACCTTCCAACGCTACAGCATCATCTTCCTTACTTGAACCTCCTATTGCTCAGAGTTAAGGAGCAGCTTCTTTTGTCGGTTGTGATACTAGCGTCTCCAGATTGATAAATACAAACCAGCATTTGCAAAGCTTCACAAGCAGCACAGGGAGAAAACTAGCCTATATTTGTGTCACTGTCTAGGGGACACTATTATTTTAATAATACCCCAGTGTCTTACAATCCAATATCTGCATTTGTTATATGTGCCTTGCACCTGCACTGTGTATTTAAGCAGCAAGGTGCTTGTATGGGATGAATTCAGTGATGCACCTATTAGCTGAGCAGAGGGCAAATTCCATTTTACGTTGTGGATAAAAGTTGCTGTCCTTCCATGGGTTACCTGTTAGTCTTCCGATGTTTGTGTAGCTCAATGGCTGGTCATCAGATAGACACAAAATGATTGGAAAGGATTTCTTTATTAGAAGAGCATTTTGGGGAACATTTGGACAGAACTAGGCAGGAGTTGGTGTGAAAGTACATCCTGGTCTCAAGTTTCACAGCATAGTTGAGATGTCAGACGAACATATACTGGGAATTTGTGCCCCAGGGGCAGACCTTGAACACTGATTCCTGCTGCTCTGCTAGAGCAGGACGGATGGCTCTGTGTGATCACACCTATCATTTGAGTGTTGCTTCATGCAGCCTGACACAGGTACTTGTAGTCGGTAGGGGATGTATCAGAAATGGTCTCTTTCTCCACCCAGCATTACTAGAAAGCTGTGCTTCAGTCACCTCACATGATCTGTCCCACTAGCCCTGCTTCTAGGGGGAAAACGTCTGGGTGTTGATCTGCTGGACAAAGTTTACTTGACAGAAGGAATATTGTTTTCCTGTGTTAAGCATCAGTGGTTTTTTGATTTGTTTCCTCTTCTCCTCTAAAGAATCTATCCCATTCAAGAGAAACCAGTTTTTACACCTGACAACAGACAAGTAACTCAAACCACAAAAATATACAGGCTAATTATTTTCTTCATTACATAAATTCAGAAAGTTTCTGAATGTGGATGTGCTTTCCAGTAGTGAGTCGGAAGGTAAGGTTCTCAGTTCCTGGCTTCCAGATGGCAAAGTATGATGGACTGGTACGTGCTGACTTCTGTGAATGGACAACAGATTATTCTTTCCCAAAGATGCTTCATGGGGGCAGGAAAGAATTTCCTACTGCTAAAAGGAAGTCTTCAAATAAGCACCTGTGTGACTTCTATTTCCTTCCTGCAGTAGGGAATTAGGATGGTCCTCTATTCTTTACCTAGACTAATGAAATGCTCTTATTTTGGTTTCTTAAGGCTAACTGCACTGTACGGATTATCAGTGAGCTACTGCTGGACAGAAATTAACATTCTGTGACTTGCATTCAAGTTCTGTGTTTTGTCGTGTCTCAGGCTTTCAGTTCCAGCAGAAAGAGTGGTTCCAGCTTTCTGTTTTTATTGAGTGGGGAAACATGTGCATCCTCTGAAGAGAAATAATGGAAGAATAGGACTAGCAGTGGGGATTCTAAGCAAGCATGCTGCTTTATCCAGCAGTAAGGCATTATTCAAGCATCACATTGAAAACAAACAAAGAACCTCTCAACTTCTGTGGTGATAAGTAATTGAAGTGGTTTTTTTGTTTGTTTGTTTTGAGAAATACAGATCAAATTCTAACATAGTGAGAATTCACTGTGAAATCAATGCACAGGAGCTGAAATATGTGACGTTATATAGTACAATTGAGTAACATCCATCAAGCTATTTGTCTTAAAAGGTAGCACAGTAGATGAATTCAATAAAAAGCTTTCAAGGTTATGAACTTTCCAAACCAGTGTAAGACTGAGCCTGCATCCAAACCTTGGGGAGCGTGAATGGGTTAGCTCATTTCTGGTTTTCCTGTGGGCAGCGGCAGAGCTCTGAGTAGCAGCATCTCGGAGCTCTGGCAGTGTTTTGGATCTAGATTTGCTTTCTGCAGTTTAAGACCAAGTCAGGAGGCCAGCTACAAACCAGTGTTGTATTGCAAGAAAAAACCAAGTGTCTTCCTGGCTTTTAAATACGGGCTCTTAACGGAATACTGTGCTTACGTTGCGGCTTGACAATATAAATATAAAAATATAAATATAAAAAAATACAAGTTATTTGCTTAACTTTTTTAAGTAGGCATCACCCCGGAATCGGGGAGCTTTTTTGAATTAGAGTGCGTGCTTGCTTTGTACCCCGTGAGATATGGGAGCGCTCTCGTGCCAGTTTTTCAGGAGGGAGGGCCGAAGGATGCGCGTGGGCTCCTGCAGGGAGGTGTTGCTGTAGTTAGTGTCGGGCAAACCTGAGCTACGGGAGCTGCAGCTGCAGCCCCGGGGTGTGAAGGGGAGAGCTGTTGAAAGGTGGTCAGCAACCCCGGTGTTGCTGGCTTTCTTCCAGGGAGGAACAGCGCCCGGTCAGCCGCGTTTAATCTTTAAGGTTGCATTTGAAATATTCTGAATGCAATGCTCTTGCGGTTCCCGTGGCGGTGACCACAGCAGCTCATGCACTGGTGTTGGGGTGACTTGCCAGTAAATGCTTAAATTGAAGCATTTCTTAATAAATTCTTTCATCGCTTCCTCACTGTTTTAAGGGAAAGGCTGCCCCTGCAGTTATGCGGTGGTTGTCTGATGAGGCATTTACTACTAAAAATAAATAAATCTGTTTTCTATAGTGCAGTCTAGCAAAAGAAGGGCTTTTGGTAGTTTCAAAAAGGTAAAGCTGTTTCTGATTTTTTTTTTTTTTTTTTTTTTAAATAGGAGCTTGGTTTTGTTCAATTTCACCCCTCCATACCCCAAATTAGTGTAGGGCCAAATTTAGAATTGAAAATTGTGGGTTCTTCTTCAGCCACTGAAGTATCCAGTTTCTTACGACTTTGTATGCTGGCGAGGGAGAGAGAGAACATCTCCATCTACCTTGTTTTTCAGGAAAAATCTGTTTGGCTTAGTTTTAAGAATGTAAGATTGAAAACATGTGCAGTGAAGTGGAAATCATCACAAGTACCTCTGACGGGGACTTGCATTTATTTTTGTTTCACAAGCTATGCAAATCCAGAATAATTAGCTGCAGCCCTTTGGCTTCTGACAAATTGCCAGTTTGGTCTTTGTGTGACAAAGTTCGGAACCTTCGTATTTCTTGTGACTCCAAAGCCATTTCAAGCACTTCCACACTCAAGCCTTCCTAGAGCTCTCTCTTGCTTTTTTTTTTTTAAATTTTAAAATAGCAAAATTTCCTATTTTTGTTGGGTATTTTTGGTTCGAATGAACACTGATGCTTTCTTTTATCTTAGAAAGATGTTCTAGTCAGTTGGCTATAAAAGTGGGATTAGTCATTGTATTTCAAGCTGCACATTTTTTAATAGCAGTGGGATATGGAGGACAACATGTTTTCCGATGTGGAACAGCTGATTGTAGTAGTTACAATGGTCTCGGCTGCTGTTTTGTTTTTCCTTTTTCCCCCAACTCTCTGGAAATTGAGATATTTGAAATTTTTTACTTTGGAGAACACAACTGTCCTTTGAGCTGTGGGTTTTACTGAAGCCTGCGAGGGAGAATTGAGGGTCCCCTCCCCTTTTTAATTCTTCAATCAAAGTAAAATACTAATGACAACAGTTTCCACTAATTGTTGCCAAGGAACTGTTGTTTTCTTGAAACGTGGAGAGGTTTATTTTCACATGAAGTATTAACGGAATAAGCTTGGAACAGAAGTGTTCTAACTGAGAAAAGGAGCTTATAAAATATATATCCGATAGCATATACAGAAAGACGTGACTGGAAAGCTTCCAAAGCAAGCAGGGTTGTTGAGATGTTGGAGAGTTGGCTCTCTAGTGCAG